AAAGCAAAGCTCTGATTTTCAGCATCATCTGCTTTCAAAAACATCCTGAGGTTCCTAATGGATTTATAAACTTTCCTATAAAGAACACCTGTTATTTTTAAGGTAGGGCTAACAGGGTCAAAACGTCAATCCCACAATCATGGGATTGAAACCCTATCCTTATTTACATGCTTTGCCATATATACAAAAAGAAGCAGAGTTTTGATCAAGCAGCTGTGAGCATTATTTTTACTTTTTTGAATAGTCACCGACAGCCTTCCAGTAGGGAAGTATGTTTTTTGGGGTAAATGCTCTTTTGTGGAAAAAGAAATAGAACGGTGAACAGATGTTTAAAAATATTCTGCTGAAGGGTCCCGAAGGTGCTTTTTCAAAAGACAATGGAACTTTCTCATTTTTTCCTTGAAAGATGCTTCACTTCTCATCCAAGATAAGAACTGAAGAAGCTTCTTGGATGAGAAGTGAAATGTCCTTTAAGGAAAAAACAAGAAAGTCCAGTTGCTTTTTGAAAAAGAACCTTTGGGACAACCCTGACCTGGATGATGGAATCTTCATAGGCATTCTGATGAAGGGATAATATTCTGGTGTAGAGCAAGGATTGTAACTGGTTCTGTGAAAGAACACCACAACTACCGTATATGCCAGCGTACAAGGCGACCTGGCATATAAGACGACCCCCGTCCTTGTCGCCGAGCCGCATTCCTAGAACGTCGTCTTATACGCCAGAAACTACCAGTATTTCCGGCGTATAAGACGACTCGGCGTATAAGACGACCCCTGTCTTTGGCGCCGATTTTAGCGCTTGCAGAAGTTGCCTTATACGCCGGCATATACGGTAATTCCAAAGTGGATTCTACATGTGCTCCACCTACTAAAAAATTTATTCCTCCTCCCCTTAAAGCAAGGGTCTTCAAACGTGGCCCTTTTATGACTTGTGGACTTCAACTCCCAGAATTCCTCAGCCAGTGTGCCTGGCTGAGGAATTCTGGGAGTTGAAGTCCACAAGTCATAAAAGGGCCAAGTATGAAGGCCTCTGCCTTAAAGGTTCAAAACTTCTACTCTCGGTTTTGCAGAGACGTTAAGCTCTTTCATCAGGGCTTATGTGACCATTTATTTATTTATTAGATTTTTATCCTGTGTTTATCATTTTATAAACAATTCAAGGCAGAGAACTTACAGGTAGCCCTTGGCTTACAATCATTTGTTTAGTGACCATTCAAAGTTACAATAGTGTTGAAAAAAGTTGACATGACTGTTTTTCATAGTCATAGTTGCAGCATTCCCAAAGTCACATGACCAAAATTTGAAATCTTGGCAACTGGCATGCATTTATGGTATTTGCAGTGTCTCAGGGTCATGTGAACACCTTTTGCAACCTTCTGAGAAGCCAAGTTAATAAAAAAGCTAAATTCATTTAACAACCATATTGCTAACTTAACTGCAGTGCTTCACTTAATGACTGTCACAAGAAAGGTGGTAAAGTGGAGCAAATCTCACTTAACAACTTTCTTCCTTAGCAACAAAACATTTGGGCTCAATTGTGGTTGTGAGTTGAGACTACCTAATACTTCTTCCTCTTCTTCTTTTCTCCCCAACAACACTGTAAGGGAGCATAACTTGGTTACCTCTTTTGCAAAGGGATGCTAGTCACAGAACATAGAATCACAGGGCTGGAAAGGACCCTTTGTTCAAGGCAGGAGACTTTATATCAGTGATGGCGAACCTTTTAGAGACCGAGTGCCCAAACTGCAACCCAAAACCCACTTATTTATCGCAGGGTGCCAGGTGGGCATGGCCCACTGGGTGGGTGTGGCTGTGGTGGTCATGGCAGATTGGGTGGGAGTGGCCAAGGTGGGCGTGATCACCTTGATGTTGTTCATGGGGAGAGATGCCTGTGTGAGCCAGGAGGGGTGGGAGAGATCCAGAGGGTCTCTGGCAGGTGGGATGGTGGGCAGGAGCCTTGTCCTGCGGGGTGAGGCGAGGCGAGGCAGGGTGGGGGTGCCATTGTCACAGGGCAAGTTGAGGCAGGGGCCGGGGCAGCTGCTGCCTGACACCATCGGCCCCTGCACACAGAGGCCAGCGAGGGCGTGGATGCTGGGATGCATCTGGTCACGTGGGACCTCGGTGAGTTAGCGGGTGGCTAGTTGAAGAGGGATGGTTGCCATCTCCAGGGCATGGCATGTGTGTCCACAGAGAGGGCTCTGTGCTGCCTCTGGCACGTGTGCCATAGATTCGCCACCATTGCCTTATACCATCATGCTTATTCCAAAAACTCAACTCACCCAAAAGAATGGTATAATCTTAAACTCTCTTATTAGGAAATAAAAACCCACATCAGGGCTTCTCTGGGATAAAGAGGATTGGAATTCAGTCAAGGATACTGGTATTTGCTTTAAACTAGGTGCATCTAGCTTTGCAGGTTTAGTAAAGATATAAGGGTCTAAACCTTTATATCTTTACTAATCCTGCAAAACTAGATGCACCTAGTTTAAAGCAAATACCAGTATCCTCGACTGTACTTCTGTTGTGGATTTGGAATGGAACAGAACAGAACAGAATAGAACAGAACAGAACAGAATTCTTTATTAGACAAGTGTGGTTGGACACACAAGGAATTTGTCTCCGGTGCATAAACTCTCAATGTACATACAAGTGATAGTGATAATCATGAGCATAAACAACATGAAAATACATTATCATAAATCATAAAATACAACACTTCATAAATTGTAAGATGTGAAAGTCATAGAATACTAGCTAAACCAGGGGTGTCAAACTGCTGGCCTGCAGGCCGGATGTGTCATCCAGAAGCCGCGTCCACCCCATTGCCGGCAATGGCAAAACCGTCCCTATACGTTGTGCGACATCATGTGACGTCACGAGTTTGACATGTCTCAGCTAAGCAAACAACATAAATCATATTGGGATACTAAAAACAATATAAATTGTAAGATACAAGCAACAAAGTTATAGTCATATGAAGATAAGGATAGGCAATAGGAAAGATGAGGAGTATCATAGTAATCAGATTTACTAATTAATTTGACAGTGTTGTAGGAATTAGTTGTTAAGCAGAGCCATGGCATGGGGGGGGGGGAAACTGTCCTTATGTCGAATTGTTCTGGTGTGCAATGCCCTATAGCAGTGGTGGCGAACCTAAGGTCCTCTCTGATGGCACATGCGCCATCACCCCAGCCCCACCTCCCATGAGCGCGGCCCATGCAGAGCAGTACAGCCAAGGACATGACAGCCAGGCAGTAGGGACAAGACTCCATCCTCATGCCCCATTGTGCGCAGTTGATGCTGTGGGGTGTGGGCGGAGGGCATGGCTGCCATCCCTCTGCTGGGCCGCCTGGGCAATCTGCAGTGGTCTGTGGAGGCGGTGGGTGGCCCTGCGGGTGGGCAGGATGGAGGCAGGTCTGGTTTTTGGGCACTCGGTCTCTAAAAGGTTCGCCATCACTGCCCTATAGTGTCGTCTTCAGGGAAGAAGTTGAAATAGTTTATGTCCAGGATGTGAGGGATCTGTAGATATTTTCACAGCCCTCTTTCTTGTGCAGTATACAGGTCCTCAATGGAAGGCAGGCTGGTAGCAATTGTTTTTTTCTGCAGATCTAACTATCCATTGAAGTCTGTGTCTGTCTTGTTTGGTTGCAGTGCCGAACCAGGCAGTTATAGAGGTGCAAATGATGGACTCAATAATTCTTCTGTAGAACTATATCAGTAGCTCCTTGGGCAGTCTGAGCTTTCTGAGTTGGCATAGGAAGAACATTCCTTGTTGTGCTTTTTGGATGATGTTTTTGATGTTAGGTGTCCATTTTAAATCTTGAGATATGCTGTACAATCAATTAATGTTTATTGAATCACAATGTTTACTGTGTTCAGGTGGCAGATTTATCCAGGATTAATCCTAGCCCATCATTTACCCTAGTTTTGCAGGAGAGATTAGCCATGCAAACTAGGTTTGGCCAATACTCTAACGCAGGGGTATCAAACTTGCAATATCATGTGACGTGTTGCGACGTATCATGACTCTTTTTCAATTGCCAGAAATGGGGTGGGTGCAGTTTCAGCATGTCGCATCCGGCCCACGGGCTAGCAGTTTAAAACCCCTGCTCTAGGCTGAAACCTAGTTAAATGGCCACAGGCAGAAGTGCCGGACTTAAGACCACATTTAAACCCAACATTTCTATTGCCAAGCAAGACAGTTGTTAAGTGAATTTTACACCATTTTATGATCACTGCTGTTAAGTGAATCATTGCAGTTGTTAAGTTATTAACATGGTTAAGTGAGTCTGGCTTCTTCACTGTTTTTGCTTGTCAGGTCGCAAAAAACAAAGCGAAAACAAAACAAAAAAAAAACAACAACACCTGACCACTACAACCATCATAGATACATGCTAATTGCTAAGCATCTGAATTTTGCTTACATGACCAGGAAATACTGCAATGGTCATAAGTCTGAAAAATGGTCATAAATCACTTTTTTCAGGGCTCTGTAACTTCAGATGGTCACTAAACAAATGGTTGTAAATTGGGGACCAACTTGTACTCGGTAAACTAGTGTGCCCTGAAAATGTAGCCTCACCTTGGTGGATCTTTTCCGTTAAGCAAGATGGCATGGGATGGTCGAGGCATTTATAGGGCATGAAGCTGCTTGCAAGACTTAGGTTAAAGGAGAGGGGGGCAAACTTTGCAGCAAGGCAAGCAACCCACCGAAACTAGATTAACTTTAGAGCTATTAGGAAAACAAAAATGCCCCAAAAGAGTGAAATTTTTCCCTGCTCCCTGAGTTAATTGATTTTACAACGGAGGGGCTCTTTAATAGAGCTCACAGGTCGTGTGTGTGTGTGTGTGTGTGTGTGTGTGTGTGTGTGTGTGTGTGTGTGTGTGTGTGTGTGTGGGAAACGAGTGTGTGTGTGTGTGTGTGTGTGTGTGTGTGTGTGTGTGTGTGTGTGTGTGTGTGTGTGTGTGTGTGTGTGTGTGTGTGTGTGTGTGTGAAACGAGGCAATAAAGGCAATACCCGGCATAGCCTTGTAGGGGAGACAATCCGCCCTTTTTCCTCAACATGAGTGTAGCGAAGAGAGTGAGAGCCGCCGCCTGGCTGCGCTCAGGAGAGACGCCGAACAGGTGGCCACAGGCAGTTGTGGGCGCGCCAGGAAGGCAGCCGACAAGCAGCGAGCAGGCGTGCATAGCGCTGTCGGCGCCCTCCCCCTCCCGGCCCGCAGCATGTGAACCCGTCGCCCTGTCCTCCGGAATAGCGGCACGATTCTGCCTATTTGGTTGCCGCAGGGTGAGGCGCCCGCCCTCGGGCCGGGCTCCCGCTTGGCACTGGTGGCCCAGGAAAAGCAAACAGACCCCAAAAGATCTCCGTCCCTCGGGCAGCCGAACCGGACTCAGGCGGAGAGAGGCGCTCGGCCGTTTCTCCAGTCGCTCCTCTTGGGCCGTGTCTGGAGGAAGGCTCGGAAGCAAGAAGATGAAAGTCACCGTTTGCTTCGGCAAGACCCGGGTGGTCGTGCCCTGCGGGGACGGGCACATGAAAGTTTTGAGTCTGATTGAACAAGCCGTCACCAGGTACAGGAAGGCAATCGCCAAGGTGAGTTGGGTCGCTCTCCGGGGCCGCGGGGAGACACCCGCTGTCGGAGGAGGGGGCCGAGCGCCTGGTCGAGGAGAGATGGGGTAGAGAGAGGCGAAGAAGGCGCAGCCGGAGGAGGAGGAGGAGGAGGGAGTGAACGAGGGAGCCTGGGATCAATATGGCGCTTCCTGGAAGGGGGAGGGAGGCAGGGAGGAGAGGAAAAGTGGTGGATGAAGGGGCTCAGGCTGCTGCTTGTTGGACGCGAGGAGACGGACCGGGGTGGGGGGGAAACCCTCTCTTCCTCGCCCCGCCGAGCGTTTTAGGCGCGCGAGCCAGAGGTGAAAAGCTCCTGAGGAAGCGTGGAAGAGAGTTGGGGAGCTGCGGCCGCTTCCCTCGCTTCCCTCCCTCACCTCGGTAAACTTTCCAGTGCCGCCGCCGAGCTCCTGCAGCTTTCAGCCGGCTGGAAAGCCAGCCGAGATCGCGGGCGAGAAACCCCCAGCTCTTCGCCAGGGATTGGCGTGGCCGGGGGCGCAGCTCCATCCGCTTTGTGCAGCCTAACCGGAGCGAGCCGAGATTTGTTTCCGAGACCGGGTGGCGAGTTACACAGTTGCGAAGGGTCGCGGGTGACGTCTGGGGCCTCAACTCTTTGTTGTTAGGTGCCGGGGAAACCTGCAAGTGCCCTGCCCGCAGGCCTGTAACTTTCCTCCTTTTCCCGCTGACTTGCCTCTCCGCTCGTCCCCGAAGCGTTGGGGAGCCTCTGGTCCCTTCTCTCCGCGGCCAGATCACGGGTGGGATTAGGCTCTTGTCTATCGCTTCCGAGAGTACTAAAAGACACGTCGGTCTCCTCTCAGTTGCCGTTGGGATTTGTATGGTGCTGGACTGTCGCTTTGCACAACATGCGACGGTGGTCGTAGCTTGCACACACTTAGCCGTTCTTTTCCCACTCCGCTCCCGATGTGCAAGTTTGTTCCCCGGGTTGTAAACTCCTGCACGGTTTCAAATCCAGGCCCAGGCTTTCCAGCAAGTCCAGGCCCAAGGTGGGGAGAAAGTGGGTGGTGGTGGTGGTGGAAAACAAACATTAAACGGTCATGGAGTCCACATGCCTGTTAGAAAGAACTGTGTTTGCTGGAGGTTTCTTTGTGTTTGAAGAAATGTTGGACTGCCACCTCATTTTAGTTAAACATAAACACAAGTAACACATGAGTTGGACAACTCTTTCTAAAGAAGGGGGGATTATTAGAGAAAAAGAACCCTTTGCTTTGGTTATAGTGTAGGCCAAGTTTCACAGAGGAATAGTATTTTTTCCTGCGTTTTTTAGAAAAGCAGCCAATGTGCAGAAGATTTGTCTCTTGAGAGGGGAAGGGCAAATGGTAAGACACTCTAAAGAAGATGGGGCTTTCTCATTTACATGATTATCTCCTGGAAAGACAAGCAACCAGTGAATGAAACAGTTCCTTTAAATATTAAACTGTAGGAGCAGTTTGTCTAGGACATTTGCTCTTAATCATACAATCTAGCGTGCCTTTCTGGCTTGTAGAAGCTTGTTTGGATGTTTATTAATTTTTGCAAGAACTCTGCACTTCTGATACCAAGGCTGTGTGTTGAGAAAGAAAGAAAGAAAGAAAGAAAGAAAGCAACATTGATGAAATCCTGTAACTTTCCTTGGGCTGATTATATGCCTGCAAATTTTCATACTGGAGATTGTTTACTTCTAGATGTTTCCATGTTGCTGCAGCAAAAGTGGAAAATGGTTTTAGGGTAGCTGTGGAGTTGAAAGTTCTACCCTGAAAGTATAACTGTTTCTTTTTTGTTTGTTACCATCCATGTTCCTTGTCTAAACTCAAGGAGTTTAGTGCAGTGATAGTGAAGTAGAATAAAAGTTTGTAGACAAAGTCAAAAGACTAGGGAAATGGCCACTGAGGAAAATGAAATTTGACCCTTGAACTTGGAAAATCAAGTGTAAATAGTTACTAGAGGTATGTGCTAATATACTGAACCATTACACAAAGTATGATAATTATAATTATGAAAAGGAAAATTGATCTGCAGCAAAAGACAGGGTTGGGGGAAACTGCTGATAGAAATGGCAGGCTGCTTGTGAAGCACAAGAAGGAATTCTGCTCTTCACTACACAAAATTATGAAAAGCAGTGTATGTTTTCATCCAATAAGAAAAGCACAAATGACTTTCTATTCTAAAATAGGTTAAAATTAATCCCTCTCCAATGTGTCAGAAATGCATCAAAATTACAATTCCAAAATTCTCTGCCAGCATAAATTCTAGGATTTGGAGAAGACCAGATTGGGAAAGGAAGTTAAATGACAGATGATCATTGACCTGATTTAGGTCTCATTGGACAATACTTTAACTGTGGTTTGTTGGATAAACCCAAGTTGACTGAGTTTGTATAATAACTGAGCAAGATTATCAAACTGGTTGCTAGTCTACAATCCAACAAACTACACTTAGGGTTAGTGCAGTCCAATGAGTGTGTCTTGAGAAGCTCTTAATCTGTTTTGCAGGTTACTAAACTGTTCCTTTAGGTCAGGGGTAGGCAACCTTGGCTCTTTTATGACTCTTGGACTTCAACTCCCAGAATTCCTGAGCTGGGAGTTGAAGTCCACGAGTCATAAAAGAGCCAAGGTTGCCTACCCTTGCTTTAGGTCTTCCATGGTGCATACATGACCACTCTTAATTCATGAATCTTGCTGTTGTTCCCTTCCACTCTCCCTTGCATTACACATTTCTCCACACAGTTAGATATTTGCATAATGCAGTGGTTCTCAACCTGTGGGCCGGGACCCCATTTGGGGTCGAATGACCATTTCACGGGGGTCACCAAACCATGCTGTCCGCCATTTTTTCCCTTTTCCCTAGCTGTCCTACTCCCTCTTATTGGTGGCCACACCCACTTGGAGGTCACCACAACATGGGGAACTGTATTATGGGGTCATGGCATTACAAAGGTTGAGAATCACTGGCATAATGTATCCAAAGTATGATAATTTGAGCCTGGTCATTTGTGCCTCTAGTGCAGTGTTTTTCAAATTTGGCAACTTTAAGATGTTTTAACTTTCCCATATTGGCTGGCAACTTCTGGGAGCTGAAATCCACACATCTTAAAATTGCCAAGTTTGAAAACACTACTCTAGTGATAACAGCACACAAGTTAAAAAGGTGTAGTACATACACACTTTATTATTGCAATGTTATATTGAAGTTAAACTAGAAAAAAATCATTGGGTGTACCTATTGACGTTTTATTCAGACAGGTGTACCTTAAACTTAAGCCTTTACTTTTGGATTTCTCTGCACGCCAAATGAATTTAATATGTGAGTATTCTCAAATAATCTCTAGATATGGTCCAGACAAGGCAGAAGATTCTGGTGTTACACTTTTTATACATTCAAATGGGGATGTTTTGGAGGGAATATCTGTGAATATTAATACTTTCCTTTAGTACGGTGCATCATACTTCAACCACTCTCTTTAACGCTAGAAGCATCAATTGCTGAATTTTAAAATGTTTCTTCAAATGGATAATTTGGCTTCTATAATTACAGTATCTTTATGAAATGTTACTTTTATTAATCTCTCTACTCCTCTCATCTCTTCTACTAAATCTGGTTGAAACATCTATTCCAGGCAGGAAAATAGGAAAATAGGCATATAACCATTCAGAAACAACAATGTTTTGGTTTTCTGGCTGGTAAATTTTGCCACATGGCTTGTACTTGAATAAACTTTTAAACTGTTCCTGGTATGTTGCAGGTATAAACTAGAGGAAGTTTATTCAAAACATTTGGACTGATTTTCAACTGTGTCATAAAGAATAACAGTACAGTAATAAATTTGCATTTTAAATAATGTGTTAAGGCCTAATGCGATGCATGGATTTTGTCTTAATTGCTAAAGGGATAGCATAGCACACTATGTGAATATAAATCCTGAGTGAGATCTGAGGTTCATCAACCCTAGCATTCTGCATTATGGCTATAACATCCTGATATTTCAAGCAGCTTTCCCAACTTTATCTGGATTTATAAATTACACATTCAGTATTTAAAAATATCATGTAACAAATAGATATGTTTAAGATTTCAGCTGTTAAATCTCAAAATCTGTTCAAAAGTCACTGTCAGGTATTGCAGATAAACTATTTGTAACATCTCTGCTGTAATGCTTTTTTCATAAGCAATTTAAATCTACAGGTAATCCTTGACTTACAACTGGTTGCTTAGCAGCTGTATGAAGTTATGATGAATTTACTTAGGGGTACTTAAATTCAAAGTTTTGATGGTTTGAACTTTGAATTCAAAGTTCTGATGATTGCCACCCTTGTCCCCTTCAGTCATGTGATTGGACTTCAAATTCTTGGCAATGGGACTGCATTTATAGCTGTTTATTGCAATGTCCCACGTTCATGTGACAATATTTTATGATGGTTTTGTTGAAACCTAGCATTAACTTCTAGTTTTCAGGAAATCCAGTCAAAAGTGAATCATGGGTTCATTTAATGACTGCAGCATTCACTTTACAGTTGTCATTTCTGCTTAATCATAGAAAAGGTCATAAAATTGAGTTGATCGTGTGACCAATCTGCTTTATGGCTATCAAGACTGGTGACCTAATAGACAGGCTCCATTATGATTATAATACAAGGACTGCCTCTAATGCCTAATGCTTGTATAGGGATTTAGTATCAATTAGAAATCTTTATGACTATATGTGTTTGCAACCTGAGATTTACAAATTTACTTGAAAAGAAAGTCTTGTGGTCTACAGCAACTTATTTAGAAATATAAACATCTAAAACAACATAGGACTCAATACTAATATAACACACATCTCAATTGTAGGATCAACTTTGTGACGGAAATGTATTGAATTATCTGTTCTATTTTTTCTTTCAACATAATTATGTGAATGCAGGCTGTCAGTGAAGTATTTTTGTAAATTAAGAAGCAGAGCTGTATTCTCAAGAGCTGATAATGCTTTTGTAGGAAGCAGTGCTCCAAAA